TAAGAATGGGATGACAGAATTCCATACCCTCGAGAGAGAATTGTTTGAGATAAAATAAAAAGTATGGACGCAAAATTCAAATTCCTGCACGAGTTCGATAAAGTGATAAAACACGATATGAGCACAATCAATTTCATACTTAAACACATAAGTACTCCTCGTCAATGGCACTGAATCGATGACGTGTTGTGAACATTTCAAACACTGTACCATTTTGGACAGATCGTGTAACGAGCATTTGGATGTGATCAGTGACTAAAGCAGGTCAACTTAGGACACCGTGGCTAAAACTGGAAATGTTTATCCACAACGGAAACTATGTACACGGAAAGGATGGGGTGTAATGTTCAAAGCAGTTAAGAATTTGGTCACTGATCGTTTAGGTTTTCAACTTCCTCCTGTCTACTAAGGTGGATCCCTTGTGGATCCCTTGCAGGTCTAGTGCAAAATATCAAGTTTTTTGTTGTCCAATGAAGCCTTCATAATTTTGTGTAGCTTTTGCCCTTTGGTTGATATTCATACAGTACAGAAGTACATGATCAAGCTATTGGTGTTCTGGATATATATGCATTGTTGAACACCATTTGACCCGTCCGATAAACAAGTTACTAGAGTGCAGTATTCCACAGAAAACAGATTGATTTTCATTGTCAGTTCACAGTTGATCCATTTACCCGATTCACTGCAGTTGGCGTTTACGATCGGATCCACCGATCAAGCAATCGACGGTTGCGTAAACCAGCACTTGTTTAAAAAACTGAGCGTTTAATTGTCTCACAGAGTACATTTCAAATAGAACAAGGTGCGGCAAACAGTTCGTTTTTGGTGATTCACAGTCATGCTAAATATATCACAATAAGCGTCACGCTGTTTTTGTATATAAATCAGTATTCCACCATAGAACAACGGAACAATTGTTTTAGGAACGGAAAAGTAATCCTATAGGTTATCTCGGGGGCTAATTTCGCCTTTATACCGCATGTGGAATTCTCTATGATCGACCGCATAATTGTTAGTAAGATACTGGAGTGTCCACAAGATTGTTAAGGAATGACATCACCTCACGTCTGAGGAGAGATTATGATCGTTGGGACTGTATTCTGCTCAGTACCGTCTAATTCGAGGTGACTTGAATTTGGCTTATCAACTTCTGCCGAACCCAAACTATCCATGTCGGCCACTGTTCACGTGATCGAACAACAAACATAGTTTCGAGTTCCTGATTCCAAAGCCTCGACTGCAACGCCGGTGTCAGTCCTTTGCAGTCAGAGTGTGCAGTACTTGGAGAACCTTTCTGTCTCACTTCGTGTGTCCACCAACTGTTACGTCTTTCAAGCAGAGACTGGAATAAACCCTGGCACACATCACATTCGTACACAACTGAAAAGTTGCAAATTCGTTGAAGACTATATTATCCTATTGGGAACTTAATGTGACACCATCATGTTTTTTCGCCGAGAAACGAATCATCTGCGTGAATACCCTGATGGGAAACAGAAAACCATGAGATTGTAAGTAATTCCAATAATAAAACTTTAAGTTTGACCTTAAGGGTTACTATCCTGCCCATTTTACAACAACCTAGTGTTTCTAATATAGCAGATCTCTTTCGAAACGAATTTACCAATGATTACTGCTTTCTAAAAGATATTCAGTCTCCGAAATGTTTCAGCGTTATTGTCCAAGATGGTCATTTTCCATTTGAACTGGATCAACATTCTACACGTTTTGACTCATCTGTGAAGACATTTACACAAAACAAAGATCCATTGTGTTCGAACTAATGTGTCGGCAGTGTATCAGTGCATTTTCGCAACGTTTCTCATTCAGTGATGCGAACTGGTCGGGGAAAAGCAGATCACTAGATGGTTAGTGCCCAAAACTTCCGGTCACTTAAAATTGTTTATCACAACGGTGTAAAACTACAGATGCGGCAAAAACGTTCATGGCTTCGTCAGACAGGTCTGTGCACCGTTTGAAACATTGATTAATTCCTTTTGCTTCTATTTCGTATCTAAATAATGAATGAATGTAACTGTTCCAGTCTTTCCTGTTGCTTGGCAATAAATACCCGGCAGAGGACCGGTCATTCCAAGTGTTCGATACCGGTGCAACAAGAGCGTCTGTAACAGGGTCCATATTACTAGAGTTCGTTCGGCACCTCAAAGGGGATATTTTAAGGAAGTGTGTGGAGACACCAGAAACACCAAAACCCCGAATAGCGTGACCCGGAATTTGGCTACTGTCGTGTGCTACTACAATAAAGGTAGTGACGTGCTTAGTCCTGGATGTTAAAAAAAATACGTTTCTATTTTCTGTTCTAAAACCATGAAAATTTTGAGATCAACTGTTCACTACTGCTACGACGAATCCTGTTAATTCGGATTCCACTATCTTTTTATGATGACCATATCAGCCAAATTTTGTTTTCCAGTTCGAGTACTTGAGATGTCTCCTCATAGAATGGGTAACTGCGGTAATCCTGGAACGGCACCTTACAGTTTTTTGGACACCTGCGATCAAATCAAATTTCAAAGGTGACGTCAATGATGCGCTTCTAACTACACAACATAGGCAGATCGTGCTAGCCAATCGGAGACAGTCCAGTCCAGACAGAAGCATATTGATGCAAGCAATACTGGAACGCGATTGGTGAAAGTCTGGATAACCAATAATCTTCTTTTGTACATATTGTTTAATCGCCCTCTTTTCTTCCAATAAACGAACTATAAACTACTATTCCTGTGGCCTTTTCCTTGTGTCTCAATTACGTGGGACATTGCATGCTAGTGCCATTCAGTCCGTGATAACTGATCCCTGACTCGTGTTTCGTGATTTCTGTTATGAGAACCGTATTTCAAGCTCCCTGCGTACCGTACTAACATTACTAATTCTACGATCTTAACAGTACCTGTCTGAATTCTATCTATCTGGCTGGTTAGGAATGTGGCACAATATATGTTCATCTTCAGGACCACCTACAAAACGCGCAAATCAAATAAACCAAAAAAATATCAGAAACAAAAGCAATTTTGAGATTACGCATCTGGAAAACAAAATGTGTACAAATTCACAGGATGGAATTATGGTTTCATATGAATAATCTTTGTTAGAAATGACGTTTATGGTAGATGAGAGGTCGGAGTGAGATCAGTTACCAGTTTGCTTTAATTTCAGAGAGACAGTTACAAAAGAACAAAAAAGTGACGTTGTCTTTTTTTCTCTTCTCTGGAATTGTACCCGAATAGTGAGGATGATGATGATGATGATGAGTTTTTGAACATCAAATGACTGTGGGATAGAACAGCCATTGGGCTCTGAGCCACAAAACCCAACGAGGTTACATCGGATCAACCGAGGACTCGTGCAACGGATAAAACGGATAACAATGAGTCATGCGTTTGTGTTTGGACGTGCTGAATCACGAATTTCACGCTTGCACAACTTCGTTTTTCTCATCGAGTTTTAGGGGCCAATTTTGTGATACCTCTGGTTTAGTTCAATCACGTTCCACATGATCCAGTTCGAACCTCGTTGAGAAAATGTATACGAATTATCTATGCGGATTTGTCGGTGATTTAGTACCGGATAAACTGTCACGTATTCGGCGAAAACAATGTGTGCGCGCGCATTTGCGTTCACCGTGAATGAGAACTACCACAATTGAACGGGAAGAACAGAGGCTAGACGGAATCGGTTTGTTCACCTCCGCGTTTGAAATACCGAACAATCATAATGAGGTGTGTGTGTGTATTGAGGAAGGGGATTGGGATTGGTAGTGGAGAGGGTTCTGATGACATGTTGAATACAATTTATACTCTGTTCACA